AAATAATGTACCTCTGAAACCGAGCAACCTTACAGAGGCTACATGCCAACACGCGGGCTTTCTAAAAGACAGTGTCTTTGCAAAGTTTAGATCAGTATTAACAGAATGTCTGTGTTGACCAGCTACTTTAAAAATGCAGCTATTTCCCAAGTGGGTTTTTTTTCTGCCAATGATAAATTTAAATAAAAATTTGCAAGATTTTATTGATTTTGGTTTGGTTTTTTGTATCCAAAAGGAGAGCAGATGCCAGAGCATGGGCCTGACAGCTCTCATAGCACCAGACAGACTGCCTGCAGATGCATTTAATCCTGCAGCTCTTCTCATGACCACCCTTCCTTCTCCTCTCCGAGAGCAGGGTCGAATTCTATTGTGGTGGACATTTGCTTGATCCAGCCTACGCAACACAGCCCACAGTAGCTCAGGGCCACAGCTGCAGTGTGCCACCTCCTGCTGACAGCAGCTAAAGACACCAAGAAGCTCAGTCTAACCCCACACAGGGCTAACTAACGTCCTTCAGCCACGTCCTACTCAAGCGCACTCACGCAAATCCCCCCTGAGCAGTGTTATCTCAGCCCCTCCAACACAGCCTCCTCCAGCGGCACTGTCACCGAACACACTCACCGGTGCCCTTGTTCTCATCTATCAAAGATGACGCTACTTATGATATGTTTATACATCAACAGCTTCCAAGTAGAGTTACTCATTATTAATGCTGACAGCTTTGAAAGGGAAAGCAAGCGGCATTTGGCAGCGACAGCTTTTAATGAGAACATTCATTGTTAAAGAACGGGCTGCAGATGACAAGTGATTTCTAGAGCACCAAGGCTGACAACTCTGACATTCCCCTTCTCCCCCATTTACTAAAGATAGGCCTGTCATTCTGGGTATGTTACACCCCAAACACAGCGTTTAACCAAACAGGGAGCAGGGCTTTAGCGGAAGAGCACTGGCCCCCTGCCAAGCACAGGATTCCTGGGACCCTTCTTCCTGCTCAGAAATCAGGGTGAGGAATCCATGAGAAGCAGATAAAAATAAACTTAATGGTTCAGAGAGGAGAAATTCGACAACAAAGTACAACCCAGGTGAAATCAGAGACAGAAGAGAAGACCCTTCTGTCACCGTATTTAATGTACATGACACATCACTTCCAAATATCCAAGCAACAGCCTTGGCTGAGGTGAACCTATGCTCCAGTCCACCACCTTCTCAGAAGTGTCACCCAGCGCAGGACTGGAAACACCTCGTTCAAATTACAGGCTTTAGTGCACAGTCAGATGTAATCACAGAGGCTAATTTTTAAGCACACTCACTTTCAGAAGTATGTCCACAATTCTCTGTTGATATTCCACAGCTTGCTTGTCATTCTTAAAGTCTTCAAAAGTCTGCATGAAGCAAAACACTGACACCTTGAGAAGAATGCTCTCCACTGCCAACCCCAGAAATACAAGCAAACACAAAGAAGCAGCCATATCACAACGCTGATGATGGTGCTTTTAAGACCCTTCTGCGCATACCACCTAAGCAGCAGGTCTCAAGATACAATTTTTTCTCTTGTAACTACCAGAATGGTTTTTAGATTCAGATAAAAGTAACAGATCCAAATAGGCAGAGGATATTCAATAAATTTGTAAAGCAGGAAAGATGAATCTTTACACAGGAAAAAGAGGTAGTTGCTAAAACACTCTTTACAAATATATTATTCTTAATTTACCTTTGCTTTAAAGATGGCCTCTGTTACCAAAGACTTCACAATATAACGTCATGTTCATCAATTTATATTTAAGGACAGAAAGGACTATTACAGTCTCCTCCTGATATCTTATAGAACACACATCAAAACTGTCCCTGCATCAAGCCAGTAACTATTGGTTTAGCTAAAGCATGAATGTTTTAACAGGAATCTTACAAACCATGCAACCCTAACACAGATGACAGGAGAACTGGCATTGTGTTTTTCTCTTGGAGATCAGCAGTCTCTTACCAGAGCAAGAACATTAAGGAATTCCCGAGTGTCAAAGTGCAGCAAGGTACGAACATAAGGGTAGACCTCTTCATCCACAGATCCCTCAGTTGAATGCAGCCGGATGAGAAATTCAAAGACCTGTAATGAAAATACAAACAAACACAAGAGATTTTGTAGGGATTTCAGAAAACTGACAACACAAGCACCTGGAAAAGCAGCACTGTTACCTGCTTTGCACTTAGGCTTTAAAAGCACCTTAGGAGTCCATCAGTGTTCTTACTTGAATGATGTCTTTCGCTGTCTGCTAGTAGTAAAAAATTCCACATCCTTAGACTCGCCAACCCATTTAAGATCAATCAAAATTTACGATCAATCAAAACTTAAGACCAAGCAAAATTTAAGGCTTATGCTTGCAGACCAAACTGTGAGATATCAGGTAACTCCCTCCCCTTCCTGGCAGCTCTCTTGGGCTGTGCAGCTCCTCCTTAACTAGGGCACAGCTCCTCTCCTCGTCAGCAGTTCCCTTGGGAAGAGTCAATCTGCCCCCTCACTTTAAGGCACCAAGTTTTTGGTGCTGCAAAGACTGACTTAGGTGCTACTCAACTCTCTATATCTCCTCTGACTTCCTAGTTCCTGAAATTTGAGCATGTCTTTCAAAAGGAAGGCAATTCCCTTTACTGAAACACGGACAGATGTTTCCAGATCCTCCCAGGAACAAACAGGGCAGTGACAGCTCCAGTTGTCTCAAACACGCTCACAAAGGATCTGGCTACCAGCAGAAAGAGAGCGGACTGCTGCAGACTGACTATTGCTCCTGAGCATGTGTTAAGATACACAGTGGGATCCCATGAGAACTGACAGGCAGACACTTTCCCAACTATCCTCAGGAAATGCCACGTTCTCTCACTTACTCCTATTCCGAGTTAATTTTCCTGTCACCGCAGCTGCAGTGAAGCCAGAAGGAGTTACAGCAGCTTGACTTTCAGACTCACAACATTTCCTGTTGGCCTCCTTGAACCTGATGCTCACCCACCAGCTAGGAACTCTGAAGAAAATGAAACCAAAAACCTCAGACTGTACCTAGAGCAGATTCAAGTAAGTAACACCTTCATGTCTGGTTAAGGCAAGCTCTCAGAAACGCTATGAGAGGTCAAAAAAAGGAGAGGATGACGGCTCTTCACCAGAGCTACTGCTGCTGGTTGGGCTATCACTTCCCCTCAGATGTTGAGGCACAGTCTGGTGCTGTGCCAGCTCTCAAATGAGCAGGGGACAACTTGATAAGTGCCATGGGAGAGGCCAATAGCCTAGCGCTTGCTCCAGAGAAAGGGAGCAGTCTGGTTGGCACAACCTGTGAGGAAAGGGTTCGTAGTAACTCAAAGCTACCACATACCTATAGCTTCAGGCTCTGGATTAGAGGAAAAAACCAAATCTACGACCGAAAAATATCTGTTCCGTTGTACTGCAAAGAGAAAGTGCAAAACAGAAAGTGCTTCCTCTTATTGAAACCCTAAAAGCAAAGCGAAACGCTAGACACCTCAAAAAATGTTTGCAGTAAAACTGGCCAGAAATTCATGAGAGAGTTTTGCAAGCACAAAGCGATGATCAGGAGCATACTCTGTTTTAAGCAATTGTCAGAGCCGAATGAAAAGGAGTTATGCTTTGCCTTAGGCCAAGCTTCAGATACAGCTCACAGAGAAATAAATAATCAGCTTGAGGGGTCTGATGAGTGAACAAGGAAAAGAGGTTTACTCAGCAGTGACCAGGACAACTTTCATGACATGTAACCTGCAAATCTAGCCATACTTTTGGCATAAGTTCCTTGTGATTTTGGCTCTCTTCTTACAATGAGACCCTAAGAACATGCTCACACCTGTCCTGAACAAACACAACATATTCACCCTGCACCTGGAGGACAGATGCATGTGTGTCCTGAATACCTGACACTGAACAAGCCTCTAAGGTGAAGACACGGTGACAAGATACCAGGGCAAAAGCTGGCAGAAATGCATCTAATGAGACCTTCATCACAGGAAACAACTGTGCTGAGTTTTACACTTTGCAAAGAGGCCAGAGGCGCAATATCGGAGGCAGGAAAACTCCAACACAAACTTAAGTTTTAGCAACAGCCATAGAGAGGAAGGAACATTTAATTCATGGTCTTTTGATGTTATCTCACTTTCTACTTGGGTCAATCCCATGCTAAATGCATTTGAAAACAGGGAAGATGCTCCTGTATTTGACATGTCATAGCAAACTTTATAAAGAAGAGACAACTACAAATTTCTGGTAACTTTGTGGTAAGGAATAACGAAAAAAACTAATCAAAATTATTGTCACTAAGAACTCTTACATTCCCATGCCCCATTTACAGTTAAAAAAAATATTCTAAACATTCAGTTCAGATTGCAACTGTTTGATTTCATTCTTTAAAAATGTATTTGGTATTTACAGTGGTATCTACTCATCACAAGGATACAATTACGAGAGCGATAATAGTTTTCTATCAAAAACCTGTGAAATAAGACATACGCAGCTCCTTCTAAAAATCTCAGATAGGAAAGCTTTCTTCCAAAAGGTTGCTCACCTGGTTTTTAACTAAAGGTACCAGATCTTCAGGAATATCACCCAGTGGATATGCACGGCCTGCCAAGCAGCAGCTATAGAAGAGGAGGGAAAAGGCATTTTTAATTCATCCTGACATTGAACTGTTCTCCTCAAGCTGTTTATTTTTTGAGTTAGTTTTGGATGCTCTTAAAACAAATGAAACAAATTTACAAGCCCTGCAGAGAGCACTGCTGTTAATACATAATAAATCAATGCATTGCACGACTTTGCATCTGACGTATGTCGTTTTACAGTAGAAAAGTAATGGGGAAACTCAGCATTTCTCACAAAAATCTTTACTCTTGCATTTTCCGAAGTAGGAGTAAAGCAGAATCTAATGTTTGCGACCTTGAATAGATTCCAGAAAGTGGGATTCACTAGTTAATCACAACTGTGCAATCTCAGGATGACCTGCAAATGACAGGCAACACAGTAAGCAGCAGCTGAGCACAGCTCTCCCAAAAGGCAGGGCAGAAAGGGCTGAAGTACAGCTCGTCAGGCTATGGAGTCCTTGTTCAAGGAGCACTGTGTCACACGCAGGACAAGGAACTCACTCTAACCAAATTCTAAAGACAAAATATGGTCTTGGCACATTAGCAGTAACTTAAGCTCTAAGTCTCCCACTCTGTCCTACCTGTCCAGTCACACAAGGTGTAACAAGAAGCCACTGTAACTGTCAGTTGTACAGGGCAGCCATTGCTCTCAGACCTTGAAGCACACTCTAAGATTATGCAACTACAGCGAGTCAAAAATCTGGTGCCATCACGATGCGACACCTCACATACTTTTTGAAGGACCTTACCTTATATATACAAGCAGCTTGTTGCCCATTACCACCTGCTCATCTACAAAACAAAAATTGTCACTTTTTCTTCACAAGACAACATACAGAGATGCCAATCTTTTTCACAGCTGCTAGTAAAACACCTCATCTGACACATGCAGAGTTTTACACACCGTAAGTTGAGAAGCTTTAATAGTACTACAACACTGATCTGTTCTCTAAGACTCTTATATTGGGTATGTATTTCCTCTTTGCATCCCTCTGTTGGAAGTGACTAGAGATACTGAAAACATCAAATATCAAAACTAGAAACCCTTAAAGAGGGAGAAGGGAGAATTCTGTACCTGTGAGAGACTTTCCAGCATTCAGTGGAGGAGCAATGACTTTGAACAGCTTCTGTAACAAGAAAGAAAGCAGTGCTTAAGTACTAGAAAAGCTAAAAGCAAAGAATCTGTGTGATTTTAAAGCAGATATCAATGCAGTGTCTTCCCCACAGACATTCTGCTTTCTCACCACATCTTAAAATAAAAAGGCCCAGAGGACACCAAGATGTGGCAAAAGGATGTTTTTCCCAACTGATGTTATCACATAGGAGAGAACATTCAATCAGAACTAACCCTAAGCACAGGCCAGACTAAGAGAAAAAAGGAATGTTCAGTAGTCAGAAGTAACAATCAGAGCATAATTGACCAACCCCAATTCCTGTTCCTGAATCTGCTGCCACCAGAGATTATGTAAGCCTTCAGCCTGCCTAACCTAGCTGGGTCACTAGAGAGCCTCTAGTTTGATTGTAGAATGAGGTTTCATCTAAATACTTAGCTCTAGAAAGCAGAAAAGTTATTTGTACTTGTACAGATAGGTTTCCAGAAGTCCTTTTAAAAATCAAAACACCTGAAGAGTCTCCTTCCTGTGAAAAATCAAATGAGATTATAACTGCTAAAAAATGGGCAGATTAAGATTTTCACACTCAAATGGACTCAGCTCTCTACTTCAGCATCACTGAGAGACACCAGTAGCGCTTCCATAACTAAATATCTTAACGTTATAGCTACAGGCTTCACGAGCAGTTGGTACATCAGGCACATCTTCAGGATGCCCAGCAGCAGCACGGGTAGGGCCTTCGGTTACAGCGCTGCACTGAGTCCCCTGCTTACTGTCAACAGAGCCCACCCAAGCACTAAGAATAAAGCCTCCTCCATGCAAGGACTGGTTTTAGCCTTTTTTCTGAATTCTGCACACAAGTAAGTTCACCCTTTATTTCTGTTAGTCTTTAATCCATACTAATACATGACTGTGCCAGCAGAGGAAGAACAACATGAAGAAAAAAAAGTATGAGGTGTTCATAGAACCTCCCATGCCTATAGCCTCATTAATCCCACTGTGCAGAAAGCTGGGATTTCCCAGCACATCTGACACGCACGCCAGGCTCACCACCAGCAACAAAGCTGCAGGCAGTTTTTCAGTGCAATCTCCTTAAGCGTGTTATTCTCTTCTGCTGCTTTTGTTTTCCATTTATTTTATTAACACAACTAAATTCCCTGCTCTAACTTTGCAGAGCATTGCTACCTCAGCAGGGAAATTTATTTTCTACAGTACAGTAATTACAAACTACTTTTCTCCTCTACTGCATCTAGTCAAATAAACTGCATATATCATACATCATTTCTCCCTTGAAATGAATAAAGACAGCAATATGCACACACTGAATGAGAAGATAATGCATTGGGTTTGAAACGCTGTTACAGTCTGTGTCCCAGACACACAAATAATCTCTCACTGCACTGAGCATCTTTCCTACCTCCATGGGACTAATGAAGTCATTCATCCCACTGTTGTAGACGTAGATCATGGCATCATAAAGACGGTTTTCCCAGCATAGAAGAACTACCTGCAAAGCATGGAAAGTACAATGGAGACATACAGCTGCTTTTAGCTTAGTTTTCTCATTCCCCAGTCTCTTAAATACAATCTCTGTCCCTGCATTTGCATCACCTGACAGGATAAATTTAAAGTAGAATGAGAATTTCCACCTGCAGAACTAGGTCTCTGCAAGGACACTAAATCCCCAGAGGGAGTATCCATCTTACCATGGAATAATGCTCAATAAACATGGAATCTAACTGTCTAGATACTAGCATTCATAATCTGCATGAATAACAAAGGAATGTAAAGAATAATAAAATAATAATTAAAAGAAATCAGTTCTTCAAAACCCTTGACTGCACCTTTTGGTTGGGTTAGTGTGTCGTTTTGTCAAGTTCCCAAGCGGTTCCCTCCTTGGAATGGAAAGTCATACTGTGGGAATTAAAACTGGCCAAGGAAAATAGGACTACCCAGCAGGAACACCTTCTTGCTCCACTAACTTTGTCACACAAGAGCAAGCACCTGAGCAGAGCAGGCTGGCAGGCACCAAACCGAAAAACACAACTCCAGTTTATTCTGCTCCTGCAGCCTTTGATGTTGGGTAACTTGCTGGAAACAGGAAAGACTGATCGTGAATATCAGACTCATCCTGACAGACTAGTAGTTTCCAACACATTCAGCTGCTGATGCATTAACCTACGCCAGGACACAAGCTGGGAGAGCAAAGCATGTTTACAGGAACATGCGTGTTACAGCATGGCCACAGCCATGTTAAATGATGCCCACATACATTCAATTTCAGCGTGGGGACACAGGGCTATGTTCTGTTAGAAATTAGGGGCCAAAAACTGTGAATGGTTTGCACTACTTCTGCTTTGTCTGTTGAAAGGTGATACCTTGTTTTCCACATGCTGTGCTGTGCTTAAAAGCACATGAAACTTGCATCAGTGACAAGAGGAGGAACGCACTATGGTACTCAGTGCAACAGCTCACCTGCTGTATGTCTAAGCTGGTGATATCCATATGCACAATGCAGGCTTCTAAATTTTCCAACCTGTTCTTGTCTTGAAAGTGAAGCAGCAAGTCTTTCATCACCCGAGCTGTGATTCCCATCAGCTTATCACTTAAGATATATGGCTCCAAGCACTCCAGAAAGATGCCTTTAGCTACAGAATTCTCACTCATCTTATCATATATCTGGTTAAACAAGAGATCCCTAAGAGGAAACAAAGTGTTTAGTGATTATATAATCTTATTAAAATCTCCTTACTTATCTACTTTCTGAGGGCTCCAAATCAAATTCCATTTTCTCTGTATTTCTCAAACTCAGGAGCTGAATGTCCTGTTCAGCTCCCGTACTGATGCAAGTTACAGGCAGCTACACAGAACACACTGGCCACGGATGTCGCAGAAAAAATACTGCTGTCTGAGGCGAAATGATGATGACAGGAAAATCTACCCAGGCTGTTTTTTTCTTAAGGGCACAGTGTGAGAGAAACAGCTTGAAGCAAAATTTTCTTCCTCAGCACATCAATGAAAATTTAAGACAAATTTTTCTTTGAGTACTGAGTACCCTAGCTTCTGTGTCAGTTTTGAAGCATTTCTCTGAACTGTGACATGCTACACGATATGAGGATGATGTGATACAATTCCTCCAAACCATGTGCCATTTTAGGAGACAGCACTCAGGCCTACATGGGTTGGTGGTCTGCCTCGGGAGACAAGCTTGCTAAGTCATACTTACGTGCGCTGCAGTAAGAGGCAGTAATCAACTATGACAGGCACCACGTCCTGCGGAAGAAACATAAAAAAGCTGTAGGGACCGGTAAAAATCCTGTCAAACAGCACATCCTGCAGAGCGCAAAATTAAGCCTGGCTGAGAGAGAGCAAAATCAACGAGTTGTCTGAATCAGCTGGTAGCTGGCACAGTTACAGGTTTTCCTGTGTGCTGGTTCATATGGAGAAAAGCTCTGGTCACACTCCTGCAGAGGCCAGAGGGTGCACAGGTTCTGCCCTGCTGCCGAGCTGTTACAGTTCTGATTTCACTAGTGCACATGACAGAAGTGAGAGTTCAGAGGAACCACAGCAATATCTTTCAAAAATTAAGTGGTTTTTGCAGCAGTCTGATTAAAAAATTCAAAAGATCTATACCAGAGAATCCTCTGGAGCACCATACCTGAAAATGTTGCTCCATAACCTGGATTTTTCCTTGGTCAGGACATTTCTTCAAAGACCGATCAGCATAATGGAGAAGGATTTCAACCATCTGAATTACAATAAAAAAGAAAATTCATTCAAATCCTACACTAGAGGCCATACTTGGTAGCAGATTTAACAGACTCACAGGGGTTGGCAGCACTGTAAACTCTGTGGTCCCATTTTGGGCATGAACTACTGTGGGTAGGAGGGAGAAGAGGCTGCCAAGAGACAGTGGCATGACACGGCATAGAAGCCCAGAGGGATACTGAAAGCCTGCACTAACTTCAGCTGATCAAGAGACTATGACAGTGGCTCTGCCAGCAAATGTTCCAGCAGATGAACACATCCCAAAGCACAATGCTCACCAGCGCCATGTTTTTACCCAAAGCTGAAGTTATGGTATCTTAAAGAGCAAAACTTCTCTATGTGTGAACAAAATATACATGAAGAACAAAGTATAGCTATTGCAACAACTATTGCAACAATTGTGTATTTTAAACTTACCCTTCACCAAAAAATGTTCCTCTGACAACTGAACAGGATCAGTTGAATAGTTTACTTCATGTCCATGTATATATGGAACAAAGTTTCCATCCTGAGAGTCAGCAAGTTACATACTGACGAACACTTGCCAACCGAAGGTCAGGAAACTCTAGAGTTACCTACAAAACGGTTTTCTCTACTGTGAGGGCACCAGAGGTCTCAAGGCCTGGGTCTGCTGCAGATTTTATCCCTATCTTTATCCAAGATGTATTTCCAAGTCTCTTTCAAAATCCTGCTCCCAGTCTTAGCAAGAGAGGCATATAAACACATTCTAGAGTTAGTTGGACAAACATTTGGAGGACAGATGCCACTCCTTCCAGGAACATAGTCAGTGTCACAATAGCATACATGAAAATCCAGTTAGGAAGAGGTTGGTGACTCACCCTGTCTGCAATGACTGCTTTCCTCTTGCTCGTGTCCCCAGACAAGCCTAGAAAGAATGAGGGCAGAGGTTGGGAGAGAGGGAATGAAGCTTTTCCCACCACCTAAGCTACCAGTGGAAATACAAAAATCAGATGCTAACACCACTACCCTTCAGATGCAGAGGTCAGGATATCTAAATATACAATTTTGTGTTCTACTTTTAAGCTACTCTTCTTCTGAAGAGTATATTCTCACAATGTAAAGGCTGTTTCAGCACAGGAACAGCAGTAACAGATCTCAGCACCCTTTAACATTGAGAGTACAGGTAACGAAGAGCTGCCAAAAACTGTCTACATGAGGCAGTTTAATTGATGGAGGATGCTTTGATGCAAAGAAGCTGAATTAAGCACACTAAAAGAGGAAAAAATAATTTTAAAAGCCAACTAAAAAGACAGTAGTTCTTTGAATACTGAATAAATTACCTGCTTAATTGCATTATATCCATGCATTAAAAATTCTTTGAATACTGAATAAATTATCTGCTTAATTGCATTATATCCATGCATTAAAACGAGTCACATCGCCACATACTAGCAATTTCTCAGCAGGAGGATCTGACCCTGAGAATTCTAGTCTCATCTGCCAAAACCATCAGAAGTTATTTGTTGAAAAGTCAATGCGTCCAGTCCAAATCATACTGTTCAAGTGGCAGTTTCTGGCATAATTAACATGTTTATCATTACAAGTTAAGTGCTTACAAAGCATCCTCCTTCATAGGAAACATAATGCCAAAACCCAGCAGTTCTTGCAGTCAGGTGTATAGTCAGAGGAGACCTGAATGGAAGTATCTGCTTGGCAGAGCTGACAGAACATCACGCTAAAAATTACCTACAGGTCACACATGACCTTCAGGAATATTTCAGTAGGCTAAATATTCAATACCTGGATCCACCTCCTTCATGGCAAGGTGACAACAGATAGGAGTCACAACACAGGCCAAGTCTGATTTTCATTTGAAAACAGCAGGCTGCTAAAGGGAGTATGACTCTAAAAAAATCAAACCCATCCACTCAAATGTGTTCGCTCTGCCAAGCCCAAAGCAGTACATCCTACCTTCTCTTCTTCAATTGAATTATCTTTCCCCCACCCCAAAAAGTGATATCTGTACATGTACAGGTTTAAAACCTTCCTTAACAGTTTCAGTTAAAGAAACAACAAACTTACCTACTACAGCCTTTGCTTTACCTTCATAAAAAGACCAAGCGAGAGCCAGGGCATCAGTGAGACGCTCTTGTTTCAGAAGGTGATCAACTCTCTGAAATAAAAAGTAACACCGGACATTAGTATCACAGCAAAGATGATCCCCTCCCATTTAAGATCAGCATTTCCCAGTAGTGGGTCATGATCTATGACAGTAAGGGGACAGGAAACCTCAGAAGCTCTCAGCACATTGCAGTAAAGAACAGTATATCTCAAAAAGATTCTCTCATATGTACATTTTCTGCTGGACAGTTAAAAAATACTAAGAAATGTCAGGTCCCAGTACATCAAGTCTTTGTATGCTATGTCTTAGGTCAGATGCTTCACGGATGAAGACTCACAGCATCAGCGAGTGTCTGCAGTCACAAAGAAAAAAAGTTGTCTATTCACCACCCTTGCCTTATCACTTAGAGCATGACAAAAAACTCCATCACACTTTCAGCATAAGGGTACACTCATCCTGCCCTTTATTTTCTCCAGAGCTCACAATCAACAAAGATTGAAGTAGATCACAAGTGTTTTCTGCTTTAAGGAATTATTAGCACACAAGGTCGAGCACCTCTAGTCTTGGTATGTTTGGTCAAAATGTTATATTGATTGATTTCTGAATTCTAGGAAAATCAGTACATGAGATCAAGGGTCTAAGTGGTAACAGTTTACTAAACCAAAGCCAGTAGTGAATGGCTGGAGGGAAAGCCAGCAGAGGAAAGTGATCTTGGTAACTAAAAGCAACAACTGTATAAAAGTTCAATAGAACTGAACCGCCCACATTTTATTAAAGGTCCTGAGAGAAGGTCATGCGCAGGAGCTTACAGTTATGGATGAGTACACGAGCCACAAAGCAGGTAAGAGGAAAAACGGTGAACGTCACTGTTTAAAGGAGAAATGTGAGACTGGAAAGAAACGATGATTGGAGTTCCTTGAGAATTAGCCTTGAAGCTCCCTTCTACATAACGATTTTGTCAGCGTGGCATAAGCTGCACTGACTAATGAAGTTTGCTAATGACCAGCTGTCACTACATGATGCTAGACAGCAGTTCATACAGACAGACGCAACAGAACCACCCCTAAAGGTGTGTAAAAAAAGTATGATGCAATCCAAAGGTACAAGCAACTTCCAGCAAAAATCAGAGTGTGGCTCTGCGGTACTGGTGAATCTCCAGAGCGCCACAAATCACTGACATCACGTAGCCAAAGGAACAGCAAAATGAGACCCGAGGATGCATGAGGAATGACACATCTAGCAGAGACAGTGAAGAACAGGCAACATTGTGACTTGTAAGACCCTACCCAGGGCAGAAGGTGCCAAAGTGTTTATCTATGTTCAAGCAACCGAGCACAAAGAAGGTGCAGAGAACAGCGACCATGACAGAAGAAAAGAATGGGAACAGTGATCACGAAAAAAGAAAGTAATGGGAGAATAATCTTACAAAATTATGATGAAAGACCTTTTTTTAGCCTTGCAAAACAAAGTCTGAAAGAAAATATGTACACACTGAATAAACATAGAATCATAGAATCATAGACTGGCCTAGGCTGGAAGGGACCTTAGAGATCATCTAGTCCAACCTCCCTGCCATGGGCAGGGACACCACCTCTCGACTAGACCAGGCAACACATGGGGACCGAGCGGGAATTGAACCCGCGACCTCGGTGTCAGTCATTGCTGTCAGCACCGCACTCAAACCACTGAGCATACCGTGAAGGGATGATCCAGAAATGAAAAACTGCTGTTTAACTCAGGTTAAAAGAACAAGACAGGAACAAATAGATCATGAAGAACTTTAGTGTGGAAACTGATAGGGTTTCAGCTGTCAGAGAAACGATGTTCCAAAAAAATATCCTATCCACAGAAACAAGGATCTAAAAAATCCAATGAACTTTTTAGGTGGTCTTTGATGGATTTTATGATGTAGTTTCTGCAGAAGCTGGAGAAAAAATACAGTGAACCAGATCTACTTCCACTCCTGTATGCTCCTCTGGCAAACAAAAGGTTTATACTTACACAGTCCTCTGAAGTCATACATTGCACTAACTCTGTCTTGTTAACAGAAGCTGAAACACAGCAGAGGGCTATGTCTTGCTTGAGAGAACAAGGTCTCCATCCAGCCTGCAAGTTTCTGCAAGCAGGAGTCTCATAGTGTCCTGTCACAAAAAGCAGCACACCTATAGCGTTGGCTGTGCGTAGTCAATCAGGGATCCTGAACATGCTTCAAGATGCGCTCAGAACATGTCCCCTCCCTCCTCTCAAGCTATATTTAAGCAATTCAAATCTACTAAGCTGTACAAGTTTTCCTCTCAACATACCTCTCTCCAGCTTCTCAATGTCATGACGTGAACAGACTAGAAAAGGAAAAAAAAGAAAAGTTATTTACTTACAGTAGCTCCTGCAGCCTGTGGTATCCCACAGACCCACCAGAGCATGTTCGTACAGATGAAGCCAAGCAAAGCAACCCTCAAGCTTGGTATGGCAGGAATAAACTGCATGTTTATACTTAACAGAAAACATCCTTTACAAGGCCTTACAACCCATCTGCTGCAAGATGCCCTTCTCCAGAAGCTGAGCTACTGTCAACAGTGAATACCCCACAGTTTTATTAAAAACTCCCCACAATTACCTTAGTTCCAAGGTAAAAGATCTGACCACCACAGCTGCTGATGGACTGATAACAAGCTTTCTCCCCAACCAATGCCTACAGGGAGAAAAATTACAGGCAAGTAAAACTGCTTTTTGTTTCTGTAAAATTTCCCAAGAAATATACACAGTTGGACTTCAGAGACAGTTTGTAATTCAGAAATGAAAACAAGGATTGGGAGAGAACACCACAGATTGCTGGGCAGTAGTAAGTTAAGAAAGCTCTGCTGTCACTCCCTCCTGCTTGTGAATGCAGCTTAAAGTGCTGCTGAGCTCTGGCCACCCAGAAAACCCGACGGAATCATCAGGACCCAGAAGCAGTGCTCTCTGTCTGTCCTCAGATGCAAAAAAATGTTAGGGGGGCTCTTCCCTAACCATCTGCTTTTTCACAAATCTTCCTCTAACGTGTAGGAGACACAGATGGGAAGAGTATCACTGAAGTGAGATTTGCTACAAACGGAAGCTTGAAAGCCAGTAACTGGTGTTCAAAAGGCTGCACATGGGCACGTTTACACTGTGAGAAATGGAGCATCGCATCAAAACTTGAGGTTTTACCACAGGGCATGGGCAGTGCCTGCTTCCCGCTCTACTGCACGGTCACACAGGCCAGAGCTGTTTGTTCTCTACTTTTCTCAGTCTGGTCAGGTACAGAAGCAGATAGAGAAGGTCTCTTCCTGCTGCTGAAAACTGTGTCTACTTCAGGGACTGCTGTAATAACACTTCAACCTGTTCAGCACAGAACCTGAGGCTGAAGCCACAGATATTCCCTGCATCTTTCTTTAGACGCTGCAGTAAAATGGGCTCTGACAATCTTCAGCCACAAACATAGGCATCTCTGAAACCAAAATATTTAAGGAAGTAGCAGCCTCATTTGGCATTTGCTTTCCAGAGCATGTGCAGAACTAGAACAAAAAAAGGAATATTTCTGATCTTCTGAGCCATGGTGGTGGGGGGGAAAGGCTTCCGAAGTGTCCAAGTCCTTGACTCAACTGCTCAGGAGTAGCTTGTCTTATAATTCCTCCTGAAATGTAGGAAAAGACACTGCTTGTTTCATATCCTCAGTATTTCAAAACGGCATTATACAGATCTCATCTGCCACTTACAGCCTGTGAATTAAGCAGGAGTCCCTTCTAGACTCACAACAGCATTTTAACAGGCAGCACTTATTTGGGGCCACCATTTTTTCAAGCCACATGTCTCCAGCTTTGATGGCAGTCACCAGAAGTCCTCACAGGAGACTGCAGAGGGTCTGGAATTGAGTGAAAGGCTCTGAATAATGACATACCCTAGCAGGGAGAGTTCGTAAACAACCCTAGTGCCGATCTCTAGCTGTGCTCTATTCCACATCATCATCGTTCCATATCTAGTCTAAACTAGCTTGGACTAGACTCCACCTTCTGACTCTTTCTTCCTCAGTATGCATCTGCAGCAGAAAGAATGAGAGCAATGATAGCAGTGCGAAGCAGATAAAGCAGTGAAAGCCAGATAAGCAGCAGCTACGGAGATTTAGAGGCTGCAAAGACTCCTCATAGATCTGGCCATTCAGACTGGAAGAGGCACTCTGTTCTTTGGTGCTCAGAGGGAACCACGACAGGTCTCTTTTATGAAATCCTACCATCCTGCACTGAAGATACTTCTTGGGCATCAGGAGCTGTCTCGTGACCGCCTGCTGGGCTTGAAATTGCAGATCCAAACTACAGACCCACATGAGCCTTCTGCTAGTTGCTTGGGCCAGCAAGTCTCACAGGACTACGGCAGAACTGAATAAGAACCATATCACCCAGCTGTGGAATTTCAGAACCCCTGGGCTATCTGTGGCGAACCACTGGGAGGCACAAACGCAAGGACAGAAGGCCCTTTCCTACACACACTCTGGCAAACTGTTTCCAAAATAAACAAACTCATTTTCTACTGAAAACGATAGCTTGTCCCAAACCCACGACTATAAGGAAAACCCTCCACAATGCTATGGTGATGCAAATACCACATCGAAGTGAGTCTGCTGCAGAAGGCACAGGTCGGGTACATGAGCCATCAGGAACCACTGAAATGAACACCTGCTTCAGAAGTAAAACACATCCAGACACTATGGGCCAGGGTCCAATAAAGATAAACAAGCATGAAAGTCAAAATAAGTAAGAGAGGAAAAAGCAGAAAACACAGCATTAGAAGTGTTGTAACTTCCACTAGTTTGGATGGTTTCATTTACTTCAAACAAGAAAGAAGGGCAGTACCTACAAGCATAGGTACTATGTCTCATCCCCTCTACCCCTGCACGACAATCTGTGAGACGAGGGCAGGGAATGCACGTACTATGCAGGCACTGCTAGAGCTGAGTATTTGTGACATACAAAGTAGAAAATATAGGCTATATCTGTTGAAGAATAAAGCATGTCAGCTTTTTTCCTGTACAGAGCATTCCAAGGCTTGGTAACACAAAAGCAGCTCCTAAAAACATCGATGCACAATAGGAAATATGAACTGTCTGTTAGCTGGCCACCTTAATGCCATGTATGATTTCTGAGATGCTTCTAAAAGGCTTTTTTCCAAAGCACCAGGCTTCCACTTAGGGCGTATCTGAAGCAAAGTGAACTAACACAAGCAGATCATTTGTGCCTACCAGGGCTTCACTGACATTGCCTCCCGTGGCCAGCGATTTGAAGTGGCTGCTGTTGTAGACTAGCTGTACTTCTGAGATCTCTATGGTCTCCAGCTCCTCCTGTGTCTGACGATCTATAACATGCAGCTTCTCCACGCTGTCTAGAAGCACTGCTGTCCGTGAGTTTATCCACTGAAAAAAACCACAACAAACGGCAGATTTAAGCAGGGCAACCAAACAGACTCTGGTCATATCAACACTGGAAGTTCTAGCATGGCCAATAGCTTTGTTACTGTATCCAGTCACATCACAACGGCACCCATCACTAACTGCACAGGTAAAGACAGGGAGGCTCCTTCTGGAGTATTAGCTTTAACACTGAGAAAAATTACAAAGAACCTTTGTCACAGAAAACACCTCTAGACAACCACCAAGTCCATCAGAGTCATCACAGAATCACAGAAAAGCTTAGGTTGGAATGGATCATGGAGATCATCTAGTCCAACTTCGCTGCCATGGGCAGGGATGTCTCTCAGCTGGGCCAGGTTGCTCAAAGCCTCATCCAACCTGGCCTTGAACATCTCCAGGGAGGGGGCATCCACAGCCTCACTGGGCAATCTATTCCAGAGTCTTGCCCCCTTCAAACTGAAGAATTTCTTCGTAAGATCCAATCTAAACCTATTCTCCTTCAATTTAAATCCATTTCCCCTTGTCCTGTCACTGGATATTCTTGTACAAAGTCCCTCCCCAGCCTTCCTGTAGGTTCCCTTCAGGTACTGGAAGGCAGTGATAAGGTCCCCTCAGAGGCTTCTCTTCTCCAGGCTGAACAATTCGAGCTCCTCTAGCCTGTCCTTGTAGCCGCGGTACTCCAGCCCCTGCATCATCTTTGTGGCCTCCTCTGGACTAATTCCAACAGATCTATGTCCCCCTTATGGTGGGGACACCAGAACTGGTGCAATATTTAAGGTGGAGTCTCACAAGCACAGAGTAAAAGGGCAGAATCACCTCTCTTGATCTGCTGGCCACACTCCTCGTGATGCATCCCAGGACACGGCTGGTGCTGGTTTTCCAGTGAGTCCCAAGTTTAAGGATACTTTCAGTTAGCTGGTCCCAGATAAACACAGACACTTCTTTTGCTATATTTCTAAAGCCGACAGTGTAGAACCAAGGGCTACTGAGATACATTTATAAGAAAACTAGGGAAAAAAAAATTAACCGACCTATGATACTATTAAGACTTACAGTAAAGTTGATGAGGTCATAGTGTAGATGAAGCTGCCTCTGTTTAGTGACATGTATTGCACCGGTATCATCTCTCTTCACCTGAAAAAAAGAGAGAAATCAGACCTGGCTGATTCAAGCTCAAAGACTCTCCAAGTCAACCTCTTTGTTCCCAGAGGGCATCACACTAACTCCAGAAGCCTGGAGCTCCCCTCACACAAGCACGCTGAGCGTGCAGCAGCACCACACATGCTTCTCAAATGGAGCATAATGTCTCACTTGCTAATGTATTGCTAGAAGCACTCATGTATGGCTCCACCCAGGGGGCACTAAAAATCTAGGTCCTCTCCTGGATCAATTTCAAATCGTTTATTTATACTCCGAGATCTGTACGTCGTAAAACAAGCTGGGACTAGATGCATTAAAGGAATCGTTCCTCCCTGCCTCTCCTCCTGTAATATATAAAGCAATGTGGTCTCTAAAAGGGGCGCAAGCCACCAGCATTTGTACAGGGAGCACTGAAGAAGAACTGATTCTCATTCACTGACTCCCAAGCGGATCAGCCCACTGGAACACTCAGCTGAAGGAAGATGTTGCATGACAACTCCCAGTCGAGGGTTCTCTCTGCTCTCACAGGTCAGAACTATAGAATACTAATGTGAAACCAGCTTAATTCCTCGTCATTAAAGAAAGCATTCCACAGATAAGTGGGTTTCTTTACACTTTGACAAGTTGAGGTGCAACAAGAGAGACCTGAATGGAGGTAACACAGCTACTCTTTAGTGACCTATAAGAAGCACAGCAGCACTTGTCAGAGCTGAGTTGGGTATCTATGCAGAGGCTTGTGCTATCGCCTGCACAGACATCTCCAGTAAGATGGGATTAAACATACAGCCTTTTCTTTCTCCTGAAGTTTACCAAGAGAGAAGACAAAGGAAAAACAGGACTTAATCCAGACAACACAATGTCTGGCTGCCAGAACAAAGCTTAAGGTCCAAGAGGACAGCAGAGCTGGGAAATAAACTTTGCACTCCAAAGCCAAAATGACATATTTTCCTCTCATGACACAAAATCATCTTCAAACAACCCTATCTGCGCGTGTAACTTCGCAGATCTAAACAGAATGAGCAGCATGTTTTAAAAAGTCACATGCCAACAGGACCTGAAAGCTATTCAGCGTGGTTCATAAAAGTTTTTTCCAGACTCATCTTTTAAAGTAAAAAATAAAACGCTATCTCAAATTCACATGATCTTGCTGAAAACAATCCACTTCCTTCTACCTCCAACAGAAATGAGATAAGCTGCAAATCAACACTTCTGGAACACATAAAGCTCACGCCTCCAGAATCTCAGGGAAAGGCACCACTGCTTTCTGAAGAGCAATGACCAACAGGGTGATCGCAAGCTGCAGACACCCCTAGCACGCGTAGGTACCACACTTTCACTGAGACAGGATCAGTCAGCTGAACACGTGAATAAGACTTCACTATCTGAAAAGCAGAATAAAACATCCAAGGCTTACCAGAAGAAAATGAACGACGTCTCCTCGACAAAACGCAAGCATGGGGTTCACAGAGTTCTGTACAGCCACAAAGTGCCATGCCAGAAGAGGGACACTAGAAGGGTCCATCTGTTAAGACAAAAAGCACAGCCAATACTGAGGGTACACAAGGCAGAACCTCAGTTCCAGGACACACGCTGTCCATCAGCTGCTACTCACTGACTTTGCCATGTACGCACACAGGCTGGAAAGCAATTTCCTGCTCTGCTGGCAGATGAGCAGTAACTTGTGCTCTTTGGTTCAGCTACATGGTTTAGGGGCAATGTGTGTCTCTTGGCAAAGCGCACGGCCAGGCAGAACAAAACCTGTGTCCTGGCTACTTAATGTAGATCCAATCTCACATGGACTGACAGACTACAACAAGCTGCAGCTTGCTAGCAGCCTTGTCTCCATTCTCACAATGTATCCCATCTATTCCCCAGCTTCTTTTCCAAGAGGAACGATACCAGCAGCTAGTAAAAGCAAATAATCAAGACTTCAGAAGACTGATTAGTGTTCTAATGACACTTTGTTTCTGTCTCTGCAATTAACAGTTGCATCGTATAGCTTTTATGTAAAGAAACAGCAAAAAGTCCCAGGTGATTGTAGCCAAACAGGGCAACGTACGAGTGCGTCCAGGCTGTAGCAGGGAAGACAGGAAGCTGAGGAGCTGCTGTGTTCCTCCCTTCCTACTCGTTGGAGAAATTCAGCATCCTCACCCCCTCTTTTCCCACCACTGACACACGTCAGACCTACAGACTATCACTGCAATTCCACAATGCAGAGTTTACTACATGTGGATAAAGTAGCAATAGCAAACACCCAGTCCTAATCTCATCCCCTTCACTCTAGGAACTGTTTGTAGCCATAATCCAAAAAGCAGCTGTTTGGCTTCATTACTCACACGACCATAGGGAAAGGTCATCCACACTTTCAGAGATGGCTTCAGGCCAATAACCAGTATCTTCAAGAAAAACAAAAAGGTGAAATAAAACATCTGAGTATATACTACAAATCTTCTTTGTGGTTTCTCAGACAAAACTTTCTGCGAGTAGCAAGCTACCTTTGTGAGGGAGGCCATGGCCAGCAGTGAATACTGGGTGATAGGATGGTCTCTCAGCTCAACTTTTGCATGTAATGGTTCAATACAGCACACCTCCCCCTTCGAGCCACTGAAGAGACAGCGAGATTCACAGGTTCTCACTCCCATAACCCTCCTGCAAAGAAGAGAAATCAATGTGGTGGCCAGCTATCAAGAAAAGATCAGCCCAACAGTCTCCTGAAATCTCAAGAGTGATCCTTCAAGTGTTTTTTAAAAGGCCTTTATGCAGCCCCAAGGATCATTTTTAGTGTGTGTAACTGAAAGTAGCCCCACTTCAGTTTGCTCAGATACAGACAGGAATTCTGTAAGATTAAGAACTTATTTAACAGTAAAGTTCTGGAAATTCCTGGACATGTTCAGAGCCCCTAGACTGTCAATCCTTCCTCCCTGTCCCTCCTCCTCTTGAAGAGACCAAGAAGAAAATGAGCAGTTACTGGAAGGCAGCTCTCATTAATGAAACAAGGAAAATCGAGAGGCAGCACTTTTATGACACTGCTTGAGCCCACAAGGAACGCCAAGATTCTGTACAATACATTGATTCCTTAATAACTTAAGGCTCTTCTTTGACTATTACACTGCCAGACAGCATCTTGCTTCTGCTGGGAAATAATACTGCAGCCTTAAGTTACACCTTCAACAGTCAGACAGTGGCTTTATTGATTCCAGTGGGGTTTTTTGCTTAGGTTTTAGAAACTATGACGCAGCATTAATATCCTGTACTTTCTATGGGTGCCAAGAGTTATTGTCTTACTTAAATGACAGTTCAAACACGGAGCCTCCACTGTCATTGCAAATTGCAAGCGTCGGGTCATCTGTAAACTGAGCAGATAATTAGATTAAAAGTGGCACTATGAAACAGACAAAAAAAACCAACACAAAAATGTATGCTACAGCATTATTTACAGCACACAAAAGTACAAGGATTGGAAGACACCTTTAACATACAGACTTGAGACGATTACTGGGGTTTTTATGACATGCAAGAAAAGCAAGGTTCTGTGTTTCATCCTCACCCCTCCAGCAAGCCCTATTGCTGGAATTCATAACTGAAGTTACTTTCTCTTGCAGCTCAGAACTACAACACACCAAAACCTGCACTGCTGCTAGAACAGCTCAGAGCCTCAAGCTCATAAGCCAGTGCCAGTGCCGGTGAAGAGGCTGCAGTCTGAAATAGAGCAAATTCAGAAACATCTAGAACTCCTAATGCCAAATAATCTAGATAAGAAAGGGCCCTTCTGGGGGCCTTTAGAACCTAGAATCTAGCAGCACAAGCAACTGGGCTGTACAGCAGTGTTGGCGTATTCTTCAATGCTGGTACTGCCACGGTACAGGTCATGAGCTAGAGAAGGGGAGCACTAGGAGCAGAGGACCTGGCATAGGGGAATATTCATCTTTATGTGCAAAGCAAAGATAGAAGCATGGAAAACACAGCAGTAAGAGCGCACCTCCATTCCCACAAAACATTTTTGGGTAGTCAGGTCAGATCAATCAGGAGAATCTGTCCTTGAGCAACACACCCCATAGCACCCTCTATACTAGTTCCACATGTGACATTGTATAGGTCTGGGATGTCTCAGCAAAGTTCAGGAAAGGAGAAGCGACAGTAGAGTTTGAGTGATGCACCAAAGTCACCGCTCTGACCAGGCTGCCAAGGAGCTTTATGCTCTGGTAGGAGAGGTGCATGTAAAACAAAGTCGTGCACAAAATCAGATACAAGTATCTGTGTGTGAAGGCAACGCCATGTTGACCAAGAGGACACAGATGATTTCTCTTTCAAGGCAAACAAGTTAGTTGAAAGACTGCTGACAGAAGGTACTTTCAAGCTTACAGAGCTACTTAAAGTAGTTAAAAGAGCTACTATTTAAGTCTGAAGTTGTAAAATCATGTATCAGTTCACACCACTGTAAGTTTTAGAGAAATGTACTCTAGCAAGTAATTCTTCATATATTTTGGGATCAGATAGAAAAGTTATAACAGAGAACTGTTGTTTGTTATAGTACAGCTCACACCTAACACTACTATTTCAGCTCTCAAAATACTCAGTTTCTTTTTAAATAGAACTTCTGCTCATTTCTCTGCAAGCTACCACCATATAGCTCCTAGGTAGTTGCTGTCATCTATGAATGTGAAAGTACTACACAAGGAAAGTCAATGCATCTGACTGAACACAAGTATGCCTTGAAGAATAAAAACCAAGTAGTATACAAGGAGTACATGCAGTGTTTGTTACCTTGATGTGCAAAATGGCTGTTCCTGGTGGGTGGGCATCTGTTATTGATCGTAGCAGCTTCCCACTGGCCAGATCCCACATTGTGATCTGCAAGCAGACTGTTCTCAGTACACATTCTCTCCACCACCTTGTGTATTAGTACATCAATAAATTTCTATATTCCCAGTATCATCCTGGGTTAGTAAGGTCTTCATACTACAGAAGAGTGATCTGAAATCTGTTCCTATCCTGTTTTTACAAGCAGTTGACTTATACTCTCACTGACAATGTTAGTGATCATCACAACTCTGAATCATGCTCTTTTGGTGAGCTCTAGCCACTTGCCCGAACTCACCTCACAGCTACCTGCCTGATAACACGGTTAAAGAACCTAAGATAACTTTGCTACCATACAACACTGTTCTGAGTAGTTCAATGCATTTCTCACAGAATTCGTGAACAGCTGAATAATCTCTGCCAATAACCATTAGCAAAACTCAAGCATCCCCCTGGCTACCATGAACCTCATCACTCCTCTCCTCCTGAGTTTGCTCAGCATGACAGGTCAGGTAGGAGTGCACAGCCTGGCTTGTGTCTGGATATTAAATTCAGGCAATTTCTCAACTAAGAAGCAACAAGTGCCAAATTACTGACTGCATAACTGTGGAATATTTAGCCAAGAAGAGCTGAGATTACAATTTGAATCTTTTTATTTTACATGGCTGCATAAATCATCTATCTACCAAAGCTTCATATATCAGGTATTTCAGAATTGCTGCTCCAAAATATTTTATCTGGGTATCATTTAAAACTGGCCACTGCTCTGCATGGATCAAATCTGTAATTCCACATGGTCTGGAGCAGTCTCATTTAACCTTATCATAGGGCACAGAGTGTGTTTATCTAGAACGAAGGTGAAATCCAAAGGAGTAAAGGGAAATTAAAGAGAAAATGGACTTCTAAAACTTTCTAAGGTAACTTCTCTCCATTTTGATTTAGTTTTATAGTCTTATCACTCTTGTCCAGATATTGCTCTCTCTCTCGAGGTTCAGAGAAGGGCATAAAACTGCAACAGCAGACTTAAACCATTTTTACCCTGCATTCCAAAGCTATGTTGCCTCCATCATACAACAGAAGTATTAGTAAAAATGAACTTCTGGGCTCAATACGAGTTTCAAGAATTTCAAGTCATCACCATAGTAAAAACTAGCTTTAAATACAAAGCACAGATCTCACAATGCAACCTAGAAAGACTAAGCTGACTGTCCTGGTGTGTCACTGCGTATTTCAGTTTATCAGGAGCAGCACTTACGTCACAACGAGCCACAATTAATTGAATCCTTCACTACATTCTCATTATACATTTACTCCATCGAAACCTACCCTGAACCATCTGAGTTAGCTCACTGGATGCAGAAATCGCTTGGCCAAAAAAGCTCTGGGCAGGTGAAGCCACACATGCTGCTTCCCAGCACAAAACCAGGTACACGTGAAATGTGCTTGGCTTGGAGCTATTGTCACCTCTGGGCATTCTCCTCGGTAAGGACCAAGCACTGAAACACCTCATCGCATGGGAATTACCTGTCCCTTGGCAAAGCCACACAGGAGCCTCGAACAGTCATTGTTGATACTGAGAGCAGAGATAGCTCCATACTGGGCCCCAACAGCAGTGCTGCCCAGACACAGTCGAAGAGCCTGGTTTTGATCTAGAGCAGAACAATTGGTAAGGAATTAAAGAGAATGGAAGAGTAACAACTAAAATTAACATAATGCAATTATTTAAATATACAATTCACTTGGGGTACATTAACAATTCACAGGCTTATAATTAAGTTCTTAAAAAAGAGTTTACAAGACAAGAGTTCAGGTTAGTATAGAGAGCATGAGACAGGGTCTTGCAGGAAAACACAAAAATTATTTTAAGAAGTACAAAACAGGTGCAGTGAATATGAAAACATAGAGGTATTACAAACTGAAGAAACTAATAGAAAATCAAGGCAATATCTAGCTTTCCTTTCACTCTTCTGTACTGGTGTTAAGTTGTAGTGAGGAAGATGACCAAAATTTAATTCTATCTTCCCAGCCATATACTTCTGTACATTGACTACAAATGCTGAAACAGGCTTTTGGCAAGTGTAATTTTATGTAACTTATATTTCTCAGTTTTGTTGATAAAGGCCAGAAGTTGGAGGCAAAATGAACACGTGTCCCCCACGCTGTAAGAGCTGAAGTGCTCCCTGAGTGCACATAGTTCTTATTTTATAAAGAAACAGTAATGATCACCACACTGTGAGGGAATTTTCTTGAGACACAGGTTACTGCAAAGCTGGTGCTAACGCCTGCACAGTCTGCGAGGGACGGTGGCAGGGCCAGGCACTGTTGGCCCTCTCCAGCCAACTAACAACAGGGACTTCTGCTTGTGCTGCTTTGGTATGCTTCCACAGAGAGACTAAAAATTGCTTTGTAGGATGCTGCGCTTCAGGCATTACAAAGAATAACTCTGCCCTTCTTTGCTGCGCTGCTCTTAAAAGCTCGGAAAGCAAATGGTCCAGATCTGCTTTCCCCAGCTCTCTCCAGTTTTGTCCTGCTTTTGAGTGGAGAAGGAAGAAAAAAAAAAATACTTTGGGAAGTCTGCTGGAATGAAGACTAGAGATCTGAATTACATCAGATCTCAGCAACAACACAGCGTGCAGGACGTCACCCTGAGCAAGGAAGGGAAAAGGCAGGATCCAGGGCAACAGGGAGCAACTGAGCACCAGAAACTCCCTGGAAGAACTGTCCCAGACACGGGACACATTTCTCCAAGCTGCAGCACCACTAGCAATGTGCTAGACGTGAAACAGAGCACGGACGGATCTCTCATTTCTTCCTCTATAAGAAGTGAAGTATTCGTCAATCTGCACAGACAGACTGATGGCTGAGCACCCACAGCGGGAGCCACCTTTCGGATTCTACCAGTACGCAGAGGCATTAGTGGGAGGACTGAAACAAACACATGCAAGAAGAGTACCTGAACTCATGGATTACTCTAAAGCACTGCTTAGGATGAGGAGAGACTAGGGCCAAGTTCAAATACTTTTCCTACTCTATCTACCTGTATCTACCTTGATAAACTTGTCTGCTGTAGTGGCCCAAAAGAAAGCAAAAAAAAATCCTTTTCCTGCAAAATCTGGATAGTGGTAGCAGAGAGGTATGAACAGAGAGGGTGTTACAAACACCACTTGTTCTGCACACCAAATGAGACAGGGCCTGGGAGAGACAGAAAGGCCAGGCTCTGTCTTGCAAATGCACAAGGAAGGATCAAGTATTATAGAAAAACTGTCAGTTTTGATCTAAAACATTATTACAGTAGTGGTCAAGAGGACACCATGTGTTATGGGTGCTCAGAGAGATCAGGATTCCTGTAAATATTGAAGGACTCTGCTCTTAAAATCTGTGGGAGGAAAAGAGAAAGTGCCTTTGGCCAACTAAAACAATGAAAATCATCACCTCCTCATCAGGTGACAAGCAGGCCAGGCAGCTCTGGGAAAGGCTGCCCGTTCTTCATGTATTATTGCTCTGCTCCACCTGCCAGCACAACACCTGATGCGGCAAGGAGGAAGCATCTCCCCTTTCTTCAGCTGCAGTCTGGCTTGTGCCAAACACAGAACAAGGGAGTTGCCTTTTCAAATGAGAACTGACATTTGCCTGTTTACACTTAAAAACATTTCATGAAGATACTGCTTCTACTGTAAGAGATACTCAGTTAAGCTACAGGTAGATGAAGATTATTTTTTAAATAACCAGCAACTGTGTAAAACTACCGTTCCTTAGCTTTCCAAATGAATGTGACATTGTTCAAAATAAAACGCTCTGACAGTCAAGGAGAATGTGAGGGTTCAAACTGGCTGAACCTAGATGTACAGAAGCAGCTTTGAAAGCTCTGACAGTCACACAAGGTACTGTTTAAATAGATACCTAAATTTCATAAGCCTTGACGCTCAAGCTTGACTAAACAAAGGATGTGTACAATTCAAGTGGCTACACTGTGAATGACTTGATCCCTACTCCACCCCAGAAATAAATGCTTTGTGCGACGCTCCATTTGCTCCTTCCTAAGAAGGAAGTGCCCATTGTTTGCCAGAGATGCATTTTCAGAGAAATGATGACTTGGGAAGCTAGCCCCAGAGAAACCTGTGCCAGTACTTGTTCTTCTTTCCAGCCAGTCAAAAGACGACACACAAGGAGGAGCCATTAGGTAAGATTTTTTTTAAAAAAACCAACTAACTACAAATAAGATGCATGAAATTGCTTCCAAAGCAAAGCAAGATGCCTGAATCAATCCGCTCCTATTAATCAACTGGCAGAGTAATAAAAATAGATAAAAGCAAAAGGTTATAAAAGCTCAACTGGTGATTGTCCAGATGAATATTATCAGCTTTGAATTAAGGCACATTTAGGATTACGCACAAAAAACATTTTCAATATGTTTGAAAGGTGGCTATCAGTTGATAACAAAATAGTTTTAATTTTGCAATATACATAAAGCAATCCTTCATCTGAAAGTCAAAACAAGATGGCATTTTGATACAGCTTTACAAGTAAAGAATAAAACCAGGTTTCTGAACATGAATTAAGTCACTTTCCAGAACAAAGGAATAAGCATAGTACTCCAGAGCTTATCCTCAGATCATCAGTTTTTCATCTTTCCTTAAGCTAAGATTTTCCTAAGTTTGAAAGGCCTGCTTTATTTCCTGCAGAACTGCTCAAGTATTACAAATTTTACAAACAGGTCCTTTCCTCCCACCTTTATTAAGCACAGTATAGGTAAACGCTCTACCAGGAGGCACTTCCCTCTTGGGCCTGGGGTCAGGAAGACAACAGATGATGAGCTGATGGGACGGGCTGCAGACACCATCTCCCTCAACAGCACAACGGCTGTCCCCAAACCACGGCGTGCTGAACCCTCCTTCCCACCCCTGCCCTCAGCTCAAGTTAGTAAAATGATTACTCAGAGGAGGGGTTAAGTTGGACCACCCTAGGCCACCACATGAGGAACCTAGCGCTCGCCCCTCAGCTGCAGAACCGGGGCACGAGCAGGGCTTTCAGAAATTGCTGCCTGCTCACACGGGTTTCACCGAATTTCTGGCTTGTGGCTCTTTGAATTGGGTTCCTGCTCCGTAGTGCTCCCAACGGACAGTTCTCAGGCAGAAACTGATGGGTGGTGATCTCATGGAAGAGCCTTCATCCTGCCCCAAAATTACGCCTTTACAAACAGCTCTGGATCTGCCGCCCCAAAACATGATATATAGCACACCTACCCGTTCCTCCGCTGCTCTGGCCTGGAGAATTTGGATGCATGCAATGCACATGTGCTCAGCAACCACTTCCCAGACTGGCTGGTGTTATCCACTGACCGGTTACAGCACTGCTTAATCTGACATCTTAAATTCTGGCACAGACAACATGCAAACTGGGCAAGACAGGAGTTGTTCATGCAGGGTATGTGCAGTGCAGTGTTACTGTACCTTTTCCTTTACAGTCCACACAGAAAAGGGCCAAAAGAGGAAAGAAAAAGCCAGAAATCAATAAAAACGGGGTGAAGTAACAAACAGCATATAGGTGATAATCTTAAAAGTCAGAGAGAACCTTCAGATTTTGCTGATAGTATTTCCTTTTCTTAACATCTCCCTTTTTGATTTATTCAAGTAACTGAGAGGATGCTGTGATAGGTAGTGTTTTAAAAACAAGTGGTTTAAAAAGCATATGGAACCCCCCAAAAAATTACTTTATAAATTTGGACTTCATTGTACTGAAGACAAAAAAAAAAAAGAAATCCAAGAGGAAATAAAACTGAAAGTTCACAGTGACATAACTGGTAAAACTATTTTCAACAGTTACTAACAGCTAGTCAATCAACTTCCCATTAACTTCAAAAAAAAGCCAAGGCAACGGTAACTAAATTTTGTTTTAATGCTATCTTTCAGTACTTACATGAGCTGTTCTCTCAAAATATCACGCTACTGCCACACCTCAAGAAAAGACTCAGGACACTCTCTGCAAGTTTTACAGTCAACAGAGAAAATAAACGGTTCATCACTAATCAAAACTAAGTCTAGCTATACAGAAATTTTCTGTCCAGGATATAAAAGTCTCCAAGAAAAATAACACATTTCAGTGAGTTCTCTTTAAGGGCTAATACTTCTAAAAGATGGAGACTAAAAAAAAACCTCTAAAGATTATTTGTTTATTGTTAGAGGCTTGCTGGGAGAGCACTTCCCCACTCCAGCTAACAATTCTCAAGAAGAGTCATGGCGCACATCATAATGGTTCATTTGCACGTTGCTCAACTCCAAACAAGTTTTAGAAAGAATCCAGCAAAAAGATGGACCTTATTTATACTAAAAAAAAACCCACCAATAAGAACAGTACTAGAAACAAGCTAAGGGTCATATCTCTACAGCACAAAAACTGTCATTATCCAAATGTGGCACAAAAACATTCAATTGAAGATAAACCTCCTGAAAGAGAGGTAAAAAATGAGAGCACCAAACTCTCCTCAGTAATGCCAGATGTAACAAACGGCAAACAGCAGAAACAGCAGATTGAGAGGCTGAGATTGCTGGTTAGGAATCTTTTTTCTCCTGCGAGGTTATGTGCCCTCAGAGCAGCTTACCAGAGGAGTGCGTGCAGGCAGGTTTGCTTGCTGGGCAGTATTTGCATCCCTAAGAGTTTTTAAAGACTTGGCTACACAAAGTCAGGGCTGCCCCAGCCCAGCGACTGGTGACAGTCCTGCACCACATGGGGTGACTGCAGGCCTCCAGACATCCCTTCCTATCAACATTCCTGCAAAACTTACAGGGTGTCAGAGTTGGCATCTAATCCAACTCCCATCCACGAGAAAAATACTGTTTCTCAGAAGATTAGATGTGTCATCTGAAAATTGTCCTGTGATAATTTTTTTAAGAGCCAACAGAAGCATCCAAAAAAGCAGGATGAAAGGTCTTCCTTATAAGGTCAAAGCAGACAAGTGAGGAGGTGCAGGCGGACATACAAGAAGAGACAAACTAAATAGCTATATAAAGTCAAATATATTAAAGAAAAAAGAACAGGTTAAAAAATTTGCTAGTGACACAAAACTATTCAGAGAAATGTGAACATCAGCAATGTTCAACCAGAAAATGGGCCTAAAATTCTGCAAACAGAAAAAGGTGATGTTTCCATTGTACAGCTTACAAGACTTGAAGGAGTGAATCTCATCCTAATTAATATATCTAGCAGAAAAGTGTTTTCATAAAAAATAAGGACATCGATCAGTCTATAGACATAAAGTGCTGTCTTAAATCACAGAATAAACCTGATCCGGCCAAATCCCGCAAGGATTTCAGTCTTGCAGATAGATCTGAGAGCGTTGGGCTCAACACCCAAGCTTTAGTTACAGAACTGAAAGAATTCAGCGGAGAACAGAAGTGTCCAGGAAGCATTTGTGCCCGTATCTGACACAAAGTTGGACGATATACTTCCATTCCTCATCACCTTGAAATTACAGCACAGACTCACAGAATAACTTTGTTTGCAAGGCACCTGTGGAGGTCTCTGGCCCAGTCCTGCTGCTCCAGACAAAATCAACGAGATCAGCTCGCTCAGGGCCTTGCTGAGTTTTGAATATCACCAGGGAAGGACATTTCACAACGTCTGTCAACCCTTATCAAGAGGTACAGCACCCTCACATTGAAAAACTTACATAGAGGTTCCCATGTTGCAACTTGGGTCCACTGCCTCTTATCTAACACCACGGAGCTGTGAGAAGGGTCCGAGTCTCTCTTCTCTACACCCTTCTGTTTAGTAGTAGAAGAAAAGCACTACCATGTCCTCTTAGCCACCTTCTCTCCACACAGAAGAAACCCAATTCTCTCAGCCTCTCTTCATGCATCATGTTTCAGTTCCGTAGACATCTCGGTGACCCCTTGCACTGGGCTCACTGCACTATACCCATGTCTGTCTTGTACTGAGCAGCCCAAAACTGGACACAGCACTTCCACTGCGATCTCCCAGGCACAGAGTAGATGGGAGAAATCACTTTCCTCAACCTTCTGAATGCATTTGTGATAATACAGCCCAGCACGCGGCTGTATAAACAGTGTGCTTCACTAGATCACAGACCTTTAAAGGCCCTGTTGCAAATACGCATAGTTCATCAAAGCACTATTTAAATAAAAGCCAATTAATGAAAAGCCAGCATTGTGTCAAGTTTCCTAAAGGCCACAAAATGAACTGAGTAACTACAGACTACTCAGGCTTGCAAAGATCATGGCCAAAACAATAGTAAACATGTTGGTCCAAAGTAATCAACAGTGTAACATAGAAAACCTTCCTTAAACAGTTGCTCTGTGCACAAAAACCAAACAAATTTTACGAAATATATCCTTTGAAACACCATAGCATACTAAGCATCTTGGACATTCAGGCATTCAGTGGTCCATCCTCTTAAATGGAACTTGATGCAGAAATAATCACAACAAAGGTGAGAAAGACCCTTCCTCTTTGCATGCTAATAGAGCTCTACAGCCCTTTCGGGCACGTAAAATGCTATAAATAATCTCTTCTCTACTTTGACACTTGCAGAGACCACCTCCTTGTTTAAAAGCTGACTTCACAGTGCCTGCATAGAGAGAGCAACAGGAAAATCAGAGTAAAAATGTGCCCCATGTTAGTGATATTGGACATGTGCACATCCTGAACAGATTTTAGAAAAAAAACACATAAATATCTACTACTAAAAACTCAGTAAGATCATGTGTTGACTGTAGCAGACAAGTAGTTATTTATATTCAGTTTAAGTGCACCTTGTAACTGTTCCAACACTGGATTAAGCAAATGGCAGCAAATAGTTTAATGTCTAAAAATGCGGGAAGGCGAGTCTTAACACTGCCACCGTCTTTTCCATCCTTCTGTTGTACCCTTGTCCTGTAACTTTTGGTCTCTTGAATAATTTCAGCCAACATCGAAAGAAAAGAAGATAATGAAATTTCTAAAACCATTAAGAACTTGGTGCTGCACAGGCAAAAGGTGCAAAAACTCAGTGTGTATGGGAGCAACTCGAGAGCCGTTCTTGCCCAGGTGGGAAGCTGGATAAACAAAGGCACAAGCTCAGAAACATTTTAAGAAGGTTTGGTGATAAGAGGAAGGCAGGAACAGCAGAATGAAGGGACACAGAGGTTACTGGTGCAGGGTGAAGGTCAGGGAATAAGAAACCTATGATACAAGCCTGCAGGTAGCCACGGGTCACAAATCCCACTGCCCAAGGAAGACATTGCAATTTCCCTAATGCTGGCTGCTATTATGTCATAGGGGAGAAAGAGATTAATACAGTATGAGATGATAGTTGTTTAGTGGTTCTGTTTCTTCCACAGAATTCATTTATATTTACAGAGCCATTTATATTTAAGCAGAGAAAAGGCTCTTTAGACACTTGCCACAGAGCTAGATGTCTCAACAACAATGTGCCAATCCCCATCAAAGCAGAAGAAACGTGACTACGGGCAATTAAAATATTACTTGTGCTTTATTTCTTTAATAAAGAAAAATCATATTTAGCTCAAACAGAACACATTAGAAGAAATCCACTCTGCAGTTCTAATTCAGTCTGGGGTTTTTTTTCCGCTTGTGTGTATTTGCTGGGGTTTTTTTGGTTGGTTGTGGGGGTTTTGTGGCTTTTTGGTTGTTTGGGTTTTTTTAAGATCACTACTATGCAAAACCCTCAAAACTTTATTTTTAACTTACCAAATATCAATGCTAAGCCATGGGAAGTCCCCACTGCTATCAGATTTGATGCCGCCTGAGACAGTCACACAGAAAGACAGAAAGAAGAAACGTCAGTCACAAATCCACCACCTAAACTCTCACTATACTCATGCAGAGTTTGCCAAAAGGGGAAGATTTAGAAGGTTATAGATACAATTGTTTTCTAATTTGTAAGTGACAAGGAATTCCTACGTGAAAGCTAGAGAAGTATTATACCTGAACAACCATCAGACAGATTTTCCTCTGCTGTTTGAAATTCAAGTGCTAAGAGTGGCACCCACAGTGAAATTTCTTCTCTGTGAAGTCAGTCTCATTCTTGTGGGGTAGCAGTTGAGTAAAAATACTCAGAAGGTTTTTCTCACTCAGTTGCTACATCCCCACCTGAACTCTTCTACAAGCCTGGGCAGCGCTGATGCCCTGAAGAGACGGTCCACAGCAAGCCCCGAGACTAACTTCCTTCCATGGGGAATTAAACATAGCTCCAGCATTCTATTGCGCTTGCAAACCTGCACTCAGTTACATAAAACCTAAGAGAAATCATATAATGCTGCAGATATTAACATTGTTCTACTTTTTATTTCTTAGCAAGTGTAAACCAGATTAAAAATATTAAGTGCTTTAATATCTGGAGTAAGTAAGTACAGGTTTTTATTCTACGTGCACATCACGGCACATTTCCAATTTTGCTGGGCAGATTTTTGCTTTTTTTCCTTTTTCTTTTTAAACAAAAAGTATATGGTGATACTACAGTCAAAGTGCAAGTTTTTAGTTTATTTGTAAAACGCTAAAACTCATTTCAGAAGGATGAAACAAATACTCGTATTTCACTTCTTTAAAATGTTTAACTACAGGCAGCTTCTGACATATTTTAATTAGCATGCTTGACTTCAAGAAGTTTAACGCAAGATGCTAAGCAGGATTATCCTTCTGACACGCTTTTAGCAAAATTTTATATTTTAAGGCCATAATTCAGGTACATCAGAGCCACAGAGATTTTGAACTCATCACTTTACAAGCACTTAGTTTAAGTTTCTTAAAAAAAAGACAAGATTCAAAGCAATAACTGGCAAAGAAAAAAATAGTTAGGGAAATTCAACGTGCTCAGCAAATGAACCTTTATGGGGAAAGGTGAGGAGCTCAGCTAACAAGCCTTGGTGATGACATGAGAAAGGGGAGAGCACGGGGCAGGAAAAAGACTGGACTCCGCTCCCAGGAAGTGTCTTTCGTGCTGCTTCTCCCACCCCTCACATTTGAAAATTCTCAGTAAGGCCAAGTAGGAAGATGCATTTATCAGCTATCTTGCATTACTGCTTTAACAAACTTGCACAAAAACTAATGACACAGTATTTGAAAATTGTTACTTACAATTGCAGTGGGCAAGCCAGCATCTACTTTGTCCTAGAAAAACAGGACAAGTCATGAGTAAGAGACAGAACTCCCAGCTCCGTGCATGTAATTAGAACTACAAATCACGGAAAATCAACACAAGTGGCATTTTAACAGTCCCACCAGGGCAGATAATGCTGAGTGAACCACTGGCTAGAAATACCCAGAAGGGATGAGAAAGTTCACAGGAATGGAGAGGAAGCAGAAAACTCTGTAATTCCACACAAAAGTTACAACGGTCTTATCAAACCAGTCAAGTCTTAACAGCTTTCAGTATTCTCTGTGCACACAGTAGACACTGATGGCAAAACTATTTCCCTCTCTCCTCTCAAGGACACCTGATTAGCTCCCCATTCAGGTGGCTCACCCACACCTCCATCAACACAACTAACAAACCCATTTCCTGCATCTTCAGGCAAGCAGAACAACAGCACTGCTATCATTTTACATCACATTTCACACCAGGTTTAATGACATCTAGCAACACGAATCAGTGTTAAAGGTGATAATTGCTGCTGCATCAGACAGCTGACACCAGACCCACTGCTGGCGAGGGATTACTAATTAGTAGTTTATGTTTATGTAGTTTATGTTAGTATTAGCCAGAACTAATAGTAGGGAGAGGAAGGAGATCACACACACACACCTCTCCACATCAGAAGAGGTTCTAATTTTTATTCTTCCTTGTCTCTAAGATGGAGAGACACAGACTTTACAGATGGACCACTCAGTGGACAAGAGACTGGCTAGAAGGTCGCACTCAAAGAGTTGTGGTCAATGGCTCAGTGTCCACATGGAGACCAGTGACAAGTGGAGTTCCTCAGGGGTCTGTTCTGGGTCCAGTGCTGTTCAACATCTTTGTCAGCGACAGGGATGACGGCACTGAGTGCACCCTCGGTAAGTTTGCCAATGACACCAAGCTGTGTGGTGCCGTGGACTCACTTGAGGGAAGAGATGCCATCCAGAGGGATCTTGACAGGCTTGAGAAATGGGCCAGTGCAAACTGCAGGAGCTTCAACAAGTCAAAATGCAAGGTCCTGCACCTGGGCCAGGCTAATCTCAGGCACAAATACAAACTGGGCACTGAGTGGGTTGAAAGTAGCCCTGAAGAGAAGGATTTGGGGGTGCTGATAGACGAGAAGCTCAACATGAGCTGGCAGGGCACTCATGCAGCCCAGAAGGCCAACCGCATCCTGGGATGTATCAAGAGAAGCGTGGTCAGCAGGTCAAGAGAGGTGATTCCCCCCCTTTACTCTGCTCTTGTGAGACCCCACCTCGAATACTGTGTCCAATTCTGGTGCCCCCACCATAAGAGGGACATGGATCGGTTGGAGCATGTTCAGAGGAGGCCACAAAGATGATGCAGGGGCTGGAGCACCTCTGCTACGAGGACAGGCTGCGGGAGCTGGGATTGTTCAGTCTTGAAAAGAGAAGACCTCCAGGGGACCTTCCAGTACCTCAAGGGAACCTACAGGAAGGCTGGGGAGGGACTTTGTACAAGAATATCCAGTGACAGGACAAGGGGAAATGGATTTAAATTGAAGGAGAATAGGTTTAGATTGGATCTTACGAAGAAATTCTTCAGTTTGAAGGGGGCGAGACTCTGGAATAGATTGCCCAGTGAGGCTGTGGATGCCCCCTCCCTGGAGATGTTCAAGGCCAGGTTGGATGAGGCTTTGAGCAACCCGGTCCAGTTGAGAAACATCCCTGCCCATGGCAGCGAGATTGGATTAGATGATCTCTAAGATCCCTTCCAACCTAAGCCATTCTGTGATTCTGTGATTAATGGATGCAACCAGGACAAGAAGATACTTACTGCTGCAGATACTATTTGGGCAGAAATTCCTTTCAGGAGTGAGAGCCGTATAACTGACCCATGGAGCGAGAGAGAATCTGGGAGTTTTTTCTTTCTAGGGAAATAAGAAATAAACCAAATGCATTCCAGCAGAATAAAAATTTGGAACTTTGCCTAACGCACAGCTAAACCGTCAGGTAAATTCTGCAAGCACTCGTAACTCATGCAATTTCCGTTCTTATTCTTGGGGCCTACATACACAGAATGGAGCAAACATGAGATTACTAGCAAAGCCGCCTGTGCACCACTGCACCTGCATAAAACTTGTTTTTAAACTTATCTCCAGGGAAAAAAACAGCAATAGTTCTTCAAACAAATTGTCTGTTTCAAGCACCTATTTGCAACCTTTAGAATTTAATAATAAAGCCTGAAAGCAACACTTCTGCTATTTAATTAATCTTTCAGTGAGTCAGGAAGCCCCAGCCTTTAAAGGTGACCAACTAAGGAACATACACAAGCAGAAAACTGGATTTATGCTTAAAGAATAACATCCAATTAAAACATAGCTGATACAATATGAAAGGTTAAGTGTTTCTGTTTATGGAGATAATGTCTTTAAAAACCAACTAGTGCTTGGGGGACAGTTATCTCTAAAGAGCACTAGTACGCTGTAGCACACACAGTAGAGGGAAATGACCAGGAAAGTTGCAATTTTGTTGCCAAGCACACAACACCAGAAAGTCAAATTTCAAAAACTAACACAGAAATATGTGGTTCTTATCTCTTCAGAGGTGCACAAATAGGTAGCTCACAAGCAGGCTGAAGAAACACATTTTTAATAGCTTACATTCCAGCTAAGGATCCATAAACATGGCCACTGGCTTCACCCAAAGATGACAATAACCCTTCCAGCTGTTTCTGCCCACTCTGTACAGGAAAATGTTTTAAGCCACTCCAGGTAACATTTCCCTCAATATGAACCATCTTACTTGAAAAAAAGAAAGTGAAGTGAGTCAGAACCCTACCAAATGCCACCATAAACCATCACAGCTAAGAGTGTCTATATCCTGTGCAATTGCTCACGCAATAATCACAACTTCTTAGGGCACATAAGGAGGCCACGGAATGACTCAGGATGTAGGATCAGGCCATCAATTGAGCAATTAATGAGACAAGTCAGCAGTACTGCAGTTAATTATCACATTTTCAGGCTGCTTTTAGATGTCAAGATTAGCATTCCATTTACAGGAGTTACAGCAGCTCATCTGCATTTTAAAAATAACCACCAGCCGCTTGCAGACTCTGGAAATCACAGACACACCTTTGCAAGATTTTCTTTAAAGTCATAATGGTTCAGTGTTTTAAATATTCCATTAAAATGCAGAGAAATTTAAATACTCCGTCTCCCTTAAAATGCATTTATTGCTCAAACAGACTACCCCTCAGTGCAAAACCAAATCTCATCTTTGCCTACTTGATCTTGCAGCAATAACGCCGTTCTGCCAAATCCAGCTTCACCACAGACCCTGCAGGTTCCTCCTGGGGCTTCAGCACTAGGATGTAACAGCAGGAGACAAAATCCATGTGCACAATTAAAGGGTCCCTACCCCAGTGACAAATTGCACGCTCCTGGCAAAGCTCCGGGAGGAGGCTCCGTGAGGTTGCCTTAGGAAGTTTCACCTGTTCTCAGCTTCGGATTGTCTCGCTACTCACTCAAAAAAAAGGAGAACCTGTTTTCATCCAATGTAAGCCGTTCTCTTTCAAAAATCATTTAACATCCCAGGGTGTGAGCCCTGCAGTACCTTTTCAAGTGTGTCCGGTCGCCGCTGTCAGAGCTTGCCACAGAGGATGTGTCATAGGAGTGTGTATCTGTGTTATCAATGTTCAAGAGAAAGGGATCCTCCAAAATGAAAGACTCATCTTCATCATCAGTCTGAAGGAAAAAAATCACCACAGCTTGCTAAACGTTCAAAAGGCACAACTCCCTAACTGAAACATTAGCAAACCAGCACCAATTATGCACAAAAACCAAGGAGAGAACAAGACAATCTCATACATAAAAACCAGAACTATATACTAATTTATTAAACTGATTCTGTGGAAGAAATGATTACCAAAATCCACAATAATCATAGAAGTGACATGGAGAGAAAGTTATGCAACTTAGCTTTCATCCCCAGACATTATCTACTCCATTAAAACTTTAACAGATCTCTAACTAAGCTGTTCTCAAAAGTCTCCAATTGCCCAGAGAAGGCCTAGAAGTATTATCCAGCATTTCACCAGGTGGTGGCCAAGAGTCTTGCAGTCCCTCTGGCTGCTATGAGGTTGATTTTGCTCTTCTGTGCCCTGCTGTTGGTGATCTTTCTCTCTCCTCTCAGGCTTAGCATAGGTTTTTTTACAGTGTTTTTTAAATGGCTATTCTCCCTGATGTCTTCAAAATTCAGTGCAGTTCATAGTGCTCTCGGAGGAGGGAGCACAAACACAATACCCCACTGAATGCCACCCATGCAGGAGCTCCTCATTTCAGCTGGCAGCCCTGTACCCATCAAGTTTCTCTTTTTCCAGTGCAGCTCAATACTATTTTGGCTCAGTCAGGTTGTTGTCCACTAGAATCCTTTTCAGAAAATGCTTTGCCAGTCATTCCCATCCTGCACGTACTGAGATAAAGAGCACTGTAAGTTTAAGACTTGGATTCTAATCCTCTGACATGGATGTGACTGCACCTCCTTAGAGTTTGGTATAAAACCAATTCCTTAAGTTCCCTCTGCCCTCATCACCCAAGGCAGCAGCAGAGCAGGACATACCTCTGTACACTGCCCCTTCTGCTGTTCCTCCCGTTCCTACACTGTATCTGGGAGAATTTATACCTGCATCTTTAATACAGCTTCTTAAAAGAACTGTCACCTCTCCCTCTCCCAGGCTCCTTTGCCCTTTATACTGGCTTCCTAGAAGTCCAACCACCAATTTCCCCAGTTTGTTAAAAAGCCAACAGTTTTGTTTTTTTCTTGGGAGTTTATCTTTATTTCCCTGCCATTCTCTTCCTTTCTAAGAATCACGCACTCATGGTTATTGTAAAAAATGCACTGAACTGAACAAGTAAGACAGTCAGTTCTCCCCTGCAAGGTATTATAGGCAAGATCAGATGCTGAGACGCTTCATACCAGACGGCTAAATATGTAAAATGTAGAACAAATGGAGTTTGGAAGAATCTAGTTCTCACCTCCCCCCACAACTTAAGAACTATCTAGAATTCTCTGACCTTTATTTTTAACCGAAAAAAAATTGTTTGATGACCCTGACCTTTAACAGACTGTATAGTCTTCAGGTGACTGCCGAAGGCAGCAGGTGAACATGCTTAAATTTGACAGAAGCCCTTTATATGGATATTTTGGTTGAAAAAATAAAATTCCCTATTACATGCTGTACAGTAATCACTCAGCTGTGCATCTGCTTTATCAGCTATCAGGAAATTAGAAAGTTATACAATTTTACTTTCCAGGAAGAACACAACATGAGAAGAACCAAAGGTGTATGTGCTGCCTCATCTCAGCTCCTCCCTGTGCGGGAGCACGTACAAGGGACTCACCTCATTCAGGATGCTCTCCAGTGTCGGAGGGGTATCAACTTGAGGAATGTCGAATTCTTTGTCATCGATCTGCACATCAGAAACCACAGACTGAACTGAGGTTGCCTACTCCACATTTCAAACTTTTTTCTAGCTAAAGAAGAAGAAAAGCAGCGCTGCACGCACTCTGTCCAGCTACCTGTGCCCAGACAGGCACCGCACAGCTACAACTCCTGCTACTCAAAATGTGTTCTCTTAAGCTTTGTACTGCAAGACAGAACAAGAGGTATTCAGTATCAAAACCATAAACCAGTTCAGGTCTGGGCACAGGTCAGAGGAATTTCATACACCTTATTATTTGCAAAGATCGCATTTGTAAAGGCCAACATCACACCACACTTCTCACACAGATAAACACGAGACTCAAGATGTTTTTTTTTTCTCCCTGGCTGATAACTAATGGGAAAACACACGCTTTTATTAAAAATAAGGGTACTTGTACCCGAGTCTCGTTACTGAAAACCGAGCTCTGCTCAGGCATGAGGGGCAGCCCCAGAGCAG